ATGTGGAGTATGGTGAGGGAGTAGGGTAAAAGAGAGACCTTTGTGCAAAGTGTCAGAAGTACCCAGATCTCTCTGTAAAATCCTCACTGCTCATTGACAGGTACTGAATCTTCTCAGTTACTGAGAGGAGCCCTCTGTGAGAAGCCCTCTGGATGAAACAGGAGTGAACAAACTTCTCCAACAGGGGATAATGCACGTTGGCAAACTTGTTCTTCATATTTCTCTTTATAAAGCCTCTGCCACTAGTCACTGGAATTGGGTTTTCTGGCTCCAGGGGGAAGTCTGACATGAGAGGGGATATCTCTCTGGCAACGTATAATTCCTTAGGAAGGAACCTAGAGGTAGAAGCAGAATCCCAGAGAAGTATCAGTGACAAATGTGAAGATGGATTTGGAGGATTATAAAAGATAAATAATTTAAGAATGAGTAACTAGGAAAATGGCAATAGCAATAACAGAAATATAGACATCAGAAAGAAGACAGTGTAAGGGCTGCAGAAGAATATGGAAGTGACACTTAACAGCACTCCAAGACACTCAGATGAAGAAGTCCAGCAGGTCATTGGGAGTGCAGGTACAGGATTGAGAGTCATAAGGACAAATTGATAGATTCAGAAAGTTCAAGGGGAATGGACTTATGACAACATCACTATGCTTTGGCAGTTTGGATATCTATCCAAAATGGTTGGATTCCATTGCTGACTTTCTATAACAATCAAATATATTTTGGCAGTAGAAATAGGATATGATTCAGTGGTGGAAACAGATTTAAACATGAGAATACAGCTTCCTCTGTCAGACTTCAGGGAAGAATAAGATAATGGTATAGAATCAGACATCTACAGAAGTGGGAAGCACAACAATTAGGGAATATTTTTTCCCACATGGACTATGCTTTCGACATGTCTTAATTGATAGGACAGGAAACAAAAGCTACAAGTTGGAGAAAGAGCCAACCATTTGGATTAACTGATGAGAGATGGGGATGATTAATTCAATGAGCAATGGTGCAAAGAGGCCAGAGGTCCAGAGGTGTGGGTGGTTATCTCAGCCCTTCTAGAAAGGTAGGTAGGTCTTCTTCTAGAAATGCTTCATGACATGGGTTCAGTAGGGGACACAATCAATCCTGGCGTAAGAGGGAAAAGGAAACTAACAATCCTGTGTGTTGAGAAGAATCATGCCACTGCTGTTGGTCCTGAATTCTATATTGGATGACAGAAGCGTGGTTGAATATGAAAGACCCATGATGATGATGAGCAGGCTCAATAAAGGGGTATACCGGACAAGTCTTTGGGAACAACACGATATATGGAAAAAATATATAGCAGTACAATCAAATGACCTCAACTGAATCTCCTTTCTCTCTTTCACTAGTTCTGCAAACTTTCTGAAATATTTAACCCATTGACTGATAAGCAATAAGCACAGTAAGTCTTCCCACACAGGTTTATTACAAGAGTTAAAAAATATACTAACATATATTAAAGTGCCTGGAACCTGGTGGATTCTCAAAAACTATTACCTGGATTTTGAAACTGATTATGCTAGAGCAGTGTTCTATCATTTTAAACTTTCAGCCACTATGATTGTAATCACCCGATGAGTGATGAGTTCTTCCTACCTGCTGCACAGAAAATAAATAAATAAGTAAATCTACTAAGATCTCAGCAGTGCAGTAGATAAAGAGTTTAACTGATGTAAGGCTGGCTACACTGGACAACTGGAGTTATCACTTAAATCAGTCTCCCTGAAGGCTCCAGGGCTCTGAGGTCAGGAGATTTTATGGGCAAGTTGGTGGGCAGGGGCTACGGAATAGGTGCTGCTGATTGGTTAGGGATGAGATCGTAAGACTACGGAAAATGGTCCTCAGGCACTGAGTCTGCCCCTGGGTGTGGCCACAAGATCAGTTGAGTCAGGAGTCACAAATCCAGGTGAGGCCAGTCTGAAAAACATCTCCAAAAAAAAAAAAAAAAAGGCAGTCTTGGGTTCTACAATAGTGATGTTATCTAGAGGAGCACTTGGGGAAGTCACAAATCTTGTGCCCTCTAGCCAGATGACTCCTGAGCAGTAAGGGATTGCAGAAACTGTGCTTCATTTTAGCAGAGTTCATGCCCCTCCCATAATTCTGTTCTTGTGGCCTTTCATCAGTTTTACAAAGGCAATTTTTGGTCACTGAGCAAGGAAGGGATTAATTTTAGGGAGGGACTATTATTATCCTCTATTTCAAGTTAAACTATGAGCTAAATTCCTCCCAAAGTGAGCTTAGCCTATACCCAGGAATGGACGAAGGACAGCTTGGAGATCAGAAGCAAGACAGAGTCAACTACATCAGATGTCTCTTACTGTCATAATTTTCAAAGGCAGTTTCACTAAAACACTTATTTTTCTCTCGTTATATTTATTTAGTATCTTTTTACTTTTGTGTCTTCCAAAAGTTTAGAATCTGCCTTTACATACTGAGTCATAAGTGATGCTGCTAAAAGGGCAAGACCACAAATGAATTGTCTCCATAATGACTGATATCCAGATGAGGAAGTTCTATAAACTTGGCTCAGCTGAATCTCTTATTCAGGTGTATAAGACAAAGTATGCCATTGGACTTCACAGAGAACCCAAGTTAAACATTATGAGTTAAAGGTGGAGTTAAAATATGAACATGTGAATTTAACATATGCAGATGAGAGTATTCCATAGTTATTATCACTTATTATTCCCCAAAAGTAGCTTTTCACGTTTTGTGAATGTAACAAAAGTATAATGAATACTCATAAGTCTCCTAGATCAGTCTTAAAAATAAAACCACCAGCAAAGGCCCACTTTCACTATCTATGATGCAAGGCCTTCTCTTGCCTCAACTAGCCTTGCTGAGGGCACTTCAGGCTACAGAAGGGTCACGCCTGGAAACCAAGTCATGAAACCTTCACCCACTGCATCATCAGCCCCAAGGCATCCTCAGTTCCAATCTAATTTGATAAACTCTCAATAAATCAGCATGTTGTTCCAATAGATTTTTTTTAATTGAAAATGGATCAAAGAGAATATAATTGATCAAGTGAAGCTGCAGCCAATGGGAAAACACACTGAAAGCTTGCAGACGTATAGGTGGCCTTTCATCTAAGGAACAGAGATTTGAATGAAAATCTCTTAAAAATTGTGGCTATCAACCATCTCTACCCTCTCCTTCTACCCTGCAGGGACTAGAAATCCTAACAGTGGGATGCTGGAGTGTCTGTTCTATTTCAAAAGCTTAGTGGATGTGCTCATGATAAGGCTTAACTGGCTTGCAGTAGAAAGAGGTAGGAAGACAAGAGAATTTGCATTCTCTAAGCACCTATAAATGAAAGTCACTGCTGTACCCTTGTGGGGTTGGTATCATCACTGAATGGGAAAAAAATAAACAAGCAGAACTCTTGGGCAGGATCAAGTAGGGGTAGCAGGAGAGGTGGCGGTGGAAGAGGGAAAGACATATTTATAGGGTTCTTTTCTTATATGGATTGGTCTTTCCCTAGGATTGGATTTTGTTTCAGGGAAAACTGCCATTTCAAATCTGCTGCGGGTTTTCTGTGCTTATAGGAGTGGGACCCAAAGTCAATGCCCATTGTCTGTCAGGGTGAGCCCACATGCCTTGAAAAGATGTGGTGCTGAAAACAGGTGGTGAGCTCGTATGCCTTCAGAACATGTGGCATAGGGGGCGAGAGGTGGACCACGCTGCACATTCACAGGAATTTTAATGCAACGGAGGAGGAAACAGGTCTTGGTACCTCAGGTAATTCATCCGCTTCTGCCTCCCAAAGTGCTGGGATTACAGGTGTGAGCAACCATGCCCAGCTATTCATGTAAATTAAACCTTAATTGTTAGCAGTCATATCCTTCGCCTCACAACTTGCATAGCTGTGTGAAGTAAAAGGAGTTTAGGCAAAAAAAAAAAAAAAAAAAAAAAAAAAAAAAAAAAAGAGAGAGAAAAGAAAAAGAAGAAGGGCAAGAAGATGTAGACAAATCTGTGCCTCAGGAAGCCACAGCCTGTGAGAAATCCTCCACAAAGGGAGACTGGCTGATACTTGGTCTAATTTTTAAACAGCTAATTCTGCTGTGCTATCATCCTAAACCTTCAGGAAAAGTCTGCTCTCTGCAGTTGACTTGTGTTGGTGGAAATTTGGAAGAATAAAGCAATTGTTTGTGGAGAAGGAGATAGCATAAATAGGAGCAGTGTAAAGGGCAGGGGTTACAGGAAGTGAGTCACAGGGAGGTGGTGGGAGAGTCCTAGTCAGTCATGAGGGCAAGGGACGGCCACAATAGATGGAGGTTCAAGAGGGCCAAGGATATGGAGATACAGGTGGAGAAATTGTTGGAGGTGGGGATGTCAGAAACTAGTGCATGTAGGAATAGCCAAATGGGTAATACAAGGTTAAGTTGCCTCCTTTTTACTGAAGTTGGAGATTATTTACCTGATATCATGGGACATTGCTCTTGAAATCAGGGCCTAACTTCTTTTCACTACACTCTACTCGCTCTCCAAGGAATAATAGCTAACATTTATTTGGCCCTTGCTATAAGGCCAGCCCTGTGCTATAATGAGTCAGGTATTATTATTATTTTCAATTTACAGCTGAAGAAACTAAAGTTTAGAGATATTATGCAATTTAGTAAAGCTCCCAGTGCAAACAAAAGGCAGTGTCAGGATTTAATTATAAGTTTTTCTAAACTCCAAAGTACCAATTCTTAACCACTAGCAAGACAGCTTAGCCTAGAATGATATAAACTGAGTTGATAATACAGGTGCTCACCTACAAAGTCCTATTATGGCTTATTTATATTAACAAATTTGTTTACTGGGTGTACAGGGAGGAAAAGGTTAAAAAATGAACTATCACCTACACAATTAGGAAACACACTGAAATGAGTAAGCTATACTATTCACCTTGACAAGACATTCAGGGCTGAATAGTGCCAAACTTAGCTAACAGAATTTCAGAGAAGAAAATGGCTCACATACAAAAAAGACTGTTGAAAGCATCTTTTTTTATTTACTATAAGAATATAGTGTGCATTTCTATACAATCCATCTTGCAAAAAACATGGTAGGCATTTTAAAAGCAGTGCAAAATCTCAACATCTGTACATTGACTCGATTAAAATATTAGCAAAGGATGAACAAAATCACATCTTAAGAGAAAATAATACAGAACGAGATTTCTTCCCTAGGAACATGGCTTCCGACATCAAGAAGCACGGCCAAGAAAACACAGCCTCATTGAATTCTCAATATCTAAGATGGAAGCTATTGACAGATAGATAGAGAACATTATTTGAGGAGGCTACTGCTCCCATGGTCCTCCTCATTGTGTCGCCAAATGACTTTGTACAGCAAGCACTAAAGAATCTGTGTATAAACATAAGAATTACCTATTGAGTTAAGCTAATCCAGATGGAACAGACACTACCAGCCTGCATAAAGGTCTTCTAAGCCAGACACCAGGCAGGGAGCTAAGATTGCAATCGCCTCCTTAACAAAAAGTCACAGTGATTTTTCTTTTTGTATAGCAGTTAAATTTCTCTCAAGTATCATCGTAAAGCGCATTATAAATAAACTGCTCAAGAACATGATGGGTACTAAATTCTACAACTTGCTAAACTTGAATAACTGCAGTTTATTGGAAATGAACTGTGAGGAATGAGAGAAGAAGACACTAAACTCTTTACAATCAAGCCTCAAAGATTGAGGCCATCCAGGAACAAACAGCTCCTTCTTTGTGGGGCTGTCCTGGAGAGTTCATCCTGATTATGAAATGCTCTTAGCTACTTCTATTGTGTACCTATTACTAGCCAGACTCAGCAACAGCAACCAAAACCTACATTATCATTAATCTTCAACACAAAGTTCAGAGTGAGTATAATGAATCCTAGTTTCTAGTTAAGCAGATGGGGGCATCAAAAAATTACACCTTCAGACCAAGGACCTGCAACTAGTTACAGAAAGAACAGGATGAAGATCAGACTGGCCTGAAAACAAACCTAGTTTTCTCGCTGCACCAGGATATTTCTGAAGAGATTGAAAGCTATCTCTAATCTTGAGCCTTTCCTTGCTACTTCTGTGCTAGTCTCAAAGTGAAAATTCTAGGGAGAGACACAGAAGGGCTAAAAATGCCACCATGAAGAGAGGTGAGTTATAAAGCAATGGATTCCACCAACAACTGTGAGAGCAGTTGGGATCTCAAGGGCTTTAGATTTGTAGCCTTCTGGGAAGAGGATCCGAAATGTAACTTAAAGGCATCTCTAGCCTAGTTTAAATTCTTTATTTTCAGTCCAGAAAAATCTGAAAATAAATAATTTAAACTAGGCTTAGAATTTTATACCCTCCTGGTCTAGGACCACAAAAATCAAACTGACATCTTTTGCATTGACTCTCAAACCTGCAGTCTTTTAGGCATGATTTTTAGTATCCTCTACTCTGGGTAGAAGTAAAAGATTAGAAGAAACGAATCCAAATGCATCTCCTGCAAACCTTCAAATCCTTAAAGGTGCATGAGGCTATTGGGCATGATGCACATGTTTAGAAGCCAAAAGTCTTTTTTTTTTTTTAAACTTGGATTTGCTTTAAGTGTGAATTCTGAAATGTCCATGAATATAATAATTCATCAGTTCTTCTCTTCCTTTCAATATTTTTACATTCAGAAGCACAACTTCTGTTTTGAATACATTTACTTTGAAAGTTACATATTTACTTGAAGTTTAAATAAATGTATTTACATTTTAAATAGGTGTGTTTAAAATTGGAAAATTTGTTTTTAGCAGTGCATGTCTTAAATATGGTGATTATTAAACCAATATTCTTTTGGGGGCAAGTCAACTTTTAGAGATGCAAAAGTGGCAATGAGAGAAATTTTATGTTGTTTTAAAGTTTGTTTCATTTTAATTTTGGTCCAGTTTAGACTTTTAGAGACCTATATCATAAAAACACCCCTCTTGGTAGTTTGTTGCTGGAGTCTGGGCTGATCCCACATCCAGCAACTGATGAGTCTATATAAGAACAACAAAGAGGAATATCATGTACAACTTTAGTTTTGCCTTGGTGGAATCAACCAGGATAGTCCCTGCCCCAACAGCCTCCTAGTGGCTTGGAGGTATGTCCTGCTGTGGCCAGTGGGTGCTGAGAAGCAGATAGGTAGACCATCCTTCATGCCCCTCTCTTCTTCCCCTCGGCCTATTTTCTGTTCCAGTTATGTGAGATGTTCTGAATCTTTTTCATTTTGATCCTCTGATCCAGCATCTTGTACCTTGCAGGATGCTCATCAGTTTTCTTTGCGACTGAAGGTGCATAGGAGCTAGATGCATAAGCAGGGCGTTTAAAATGACGCAAAGGAGGCTTGATGACTGGAGGCCATGGAAAGGAAGACAGACAACTGTTAGCCTCACCCATGACATGGCACAACCCAAATATTGTGAGCAACTTCCTCTAGACATGTTTGTTTCCTCCAAAACCAGGAAACAAGCAGGGTTGGACTCTCCCTGGAAACCTTATGGCAGATAGGTGAATAAGCACATTATCACCTTGGTCATTCACTCAAAATAAATAAAGGGAAGAAATTTCTAGAGATACACAGTGATAACTGCAGTACATAAAGGTCCTTTGACAACGAATGGATGGGGACAAGAGAGTGAGAGGAACCACTGAGGTCATTTCTGGGAACAGCAGAGCAAAGAAGGTAAACACAGATATATCATTAACACAGCATTTAGCACTGTGTGTAAGCTTGTAGTGTTGGAAAATGGCACTCACTCCCCAAGTGCTAATTAAAAGTGCATCGTTAAGAAAACATTTATAAAACACATATAAAGATCTTGTACTCAAAATATAAAAAGAACTCTTAAAGCTCAACAACAACAAAAAAAGCAAACAACCCAATTTTAAAATGGGCAAAGATCTGAACACACTTCTCACCAAGAGAGATACATGTGTCAAATAAGCACAGGAAAAGATGCTCAACAACTTGTGTCATTAGAGAACTTCAAATTAAAACAACTATATGCTACTACACACATATACACTGCTAAAGGCTAAAAAAGTTGACAATGCCAATCGCTGGCAAGGATGCAAAGTAATAGGAAACCTCATTCTTGCTGATTGGGATAAAAATGGTACAGCCACTTTGGAAGACAGTTTGACAGTTTCTGATGAAGCTAGATATAGTCTTACCATGCAATGCAGCAGTTGTGCATCCTAGGTATTTACCCAACTGATGGAAAATGTGTGTCCACATAAAAACCCACACATGAATTGTTGTAGAAACTTTATTCATAAGTAACAAAAGCTGGAAGCAACTAAGATGTCCTTCAATAGTTGAGCAGATAAACAAATTATGATACATTTATACAATGGAATATTATTTATTGTGATAAAAAGCAAATAACTATCAAGCTATGCAAAGACATGAATGAATCTTAAATACATATTGCTAAGTGAAAGAAGTCAGTCTGTAAAGGCTATCTAGCATATGAGCCCACTTCTATGACTTTCTTCAAAGGGACATAACTACAGAGATGATAAAAAGATCAGTGATTGTCAGGGGTTTGGAAAGAGGAGGGAGGGTGACGCACAGGGGATTTCTAGAGCAGTGAAGCTCTTCCATACAATGCTGTAGTGGTGTATGTGTGACATTACACATTTGTCAAAACCAACAGAACTTTATAGGACATAGAGTAATCCCTAATGTATGCAAGTTAAAAACCATTTAGGAGGTCAGAGGAATCCTAGAATGAAATGCAAACTGTAACAAGACAACGTAAATGCATTTTAAATGTAGGAAACAACCTCCCTGAAGAGTGGGGGACAAGATGCTCATCAAAGTAGCTTTGTATGTGAATAGAATCTCCAAGACCAACAGCCAACGAAGCTGTACACAGGTACTCTATTCTAGTTGATAAAATTGTTTCCCATGGGGCTATTTGTTATCAATTCTATTACCACTCTACATGTATACTGGAATTCAACAATTATGTAAACAGAGGGTGGATGCTGAGAATTGTTGGAGGAGGTTAGAATGATCCATTTGGTAATGGGCTTGGAGATATCAATATGAATTCATATTTAGCTTAATAGAGATACAGGTGATTATATATAAAAATATGTATAGACATGTATGTACATGAGTTGGCATTCACACATATAATTTCTTGCTCTATCAGCTGAAGGGGAGGGGGTCTAGAAGCAAAAAAGTCACTACAAATCTAGAAGCCACAGCAAAAATAAGTACATCTAACTGCCCTGATCTTGGTTTCTAAAACCATTTGCTAATAAAATAAACCAGGGCTCCTTGTAGAAACGACTGATTCTAGAAACAATAAACAAAATATGTAAGAAGCACTTGAAGCATCTTGTAGAGCTGCAAAATTTAGTGTTCAAAAACAAACAAAAAAATACAATGATAGACAAAGGAGCCCTGAATGAAATATCTATGGAATGACAAAAATTGAATGAAACTGAGCAACAAAGTAAATAAGGCAGTATTGTATTATAACTCAAAGTGTAAAATAAATATCCATGAGTCCATACTAATATAAATAAATGATTGAATAAATAAGTAATTGTGGAATAGAAAAATATCTTATGCAGAAGATTAAAAATTATATATATATACACATATATATGTATATATATATGTATATGTATATATATATATATATATATATATACACACACACACACACACACACACACACACACACACATATATATATGTTTCCCTTAAGGAGAAGAAGCCCTGTAGTATGGATCAAACATAGTGATATCCTTCCAAAAAGTATGGACTGAAGTGTGAGACAGGCCAGGTGCAGTGACTCATGCCTGTAATCCTAGCACTGTGGGAGGCCAAGGCAGGTGGGTCACTGGAGGCCAGGAGTTCGAGACCAGCCTGGCCAACATGGTGAAACCCTATCTCAACTAAAAATACAAAACTTAGCTGGGCATGGTGGTGCACACACCTGTAATCCCAGCTACTCGGGAGACTCAGGCAGTGAATCACTGGAATCGGGAGGTAGAGGTTGCAGTGAGCTGAGATGGTGCCATTGCGCTCCAGCCTTGGTAACGCTCCTTCTCAAAAACAAAGAAATAAATACAATAAAAGTTTGAAAAATGAGATAGAAGAGTAACTTTATAGTAAAGAAATCTAATAAACAAAACTTCATCCAGGAGATCAAGGTTGACACCAGTAGCATGTGATGAAAATTAATATTTTGTGATGAAAATAGAACTTTACCTCTGAGTTTTCCTCCCAAAAATACATAATCCCATTCTAGTAATGAAAAACATCAAATAAATCCCAATTGAGAGATATTCTACAAAATACCTGACACGTATTCCTCAAAGCCATCAATGTCACCGAAAATTAGAGAAGTCTGAGGAACTGTCACATCCAAGAAAAGCCTAAAAAGGTTGATGACTGAAAGTAATGGATTATCCTGGATGGGATCCTAGGACAGAAAAATGACACTGGGTAACAACTAGGGACATTTGAATAAAGCAGGAACTTCAGATAATAATAATAATTAATAATAATAAAGGATAGCATCTAATCTGTAGATCTAGACACAGAAGGTAAAGTACTCATTGACTCTTTCTCCCTCCACTCCCCTCTATGCCAGCCATCCCCCACACCCGTTCTAGGTTCTGCTGGAAAGTGTTTGGTCAGTGAGATAACTAAAGATGAACAAGTCAAATGATCATCAAAAACAGATGAGATTTTTTTTTTTTTTTTTTTTTTTGAGACGGAGTTTCACTCTTGTTACCCAGGCTGGAGTGCAATGGCGCGATCTCGGCTCACCGCAACCTCCGCCTCCTGGGTTCAAGCAATTCTCCTTCCTCAGCCTCCTGAGTAGCTGGGACTACAGGCACGCGCCACCATGCCTAGCTAATTTTTTGTATTTTTAGTAGAGACGGGGTTTCACCATGTTGACCAGGATGGTCTCGATCTCTCGACCTCGTGATCCACCCGCCTCGGCCTCCCAAAGTGCTGGGATTACAGGCTTGAGCCACCGTGCCCGGCACAGATGAGATTTAATAACTAGATGAAAAGTACAAGGAAACAGAGCCAGTTGACCCCTTGCTCATTGGCTCTCCCTGGAGGCTCCTCCACTGTCACTGAAAGAGCCAGTGCAGAAACAGGACACACGGTGGGTCCAATGGAAGGGCCAATGTCAGGTACTCATCTGTCCAATGCCCGAGGCTTCCTTGTGAAAAACCAGCTCTGCATATCTCTTCCAATAACAGGGAAACGCATGGTGCTTATAATCAAACGAAAGATTAGAAACAACTTAAATGAACAATCATAGGGAATTGGCTAAATTCTGGTCCATTCTTAGAATATACTACTGTGATACTATGGAAAGATGATACAGATGACTACTAACAAAACTAGAGGTTCATGTAATACTGTTAAATGAAAAAGCAGTATATATTAGCTAATCTTGTTACTATAAAATATATACATATGTACCTAAGAAAATCAGAAGGACATACATTTAAATCATAGCAGTGGTTATCTCTGAGCAGCATAAACATGGCTATCTTTTCTCTTTGGTTGTTTATACTTACTAATTTTTCTGTGATGATCAAGTTATAGTCATTTAACTTTTTAAAAAGAAACATACTAGTAAAAATTTCTTCTATAGAATCATCTATCAGAGTTATTCTATAAAATCACACTTGAGAGAAAATCAGTAAAACCAAGTTCACCTTGGGACCTTAGTAATAGACATCTCAGGTTGGCCATAGCTGAGTACACTTCTCACAACCTACAGAATAATATTTATTAATATTTATTTACCCAGGTCTTAGAGCACCTATTCTGTGCTATTAACATAACAGTGAATGGAACAGATATAATCCCTGCCTTTGTTGGGCTTTCATTCTAGTAGCATCCTCTGAAATTTTTGACTCACTCACAGAAGTAAAAAGTGTTCAGATATAAGTGATACTATTGCTACAAGCTCCTTGATACCCATGCCAATCTTACCTATTGCAATACCCTAACATGAAGTAAAGAGCTGCAGCAAATGGCTCTGTTGTGACATATTCTACATTGTTATAGGTTTGTTTATTAGGTCTCAGAGTGCTTAATTCTTTTTCTTAAAGTAAACAAGGGATTATTGCATCAAATTCTCTAGGAACAAACATAAAAACAGTGCTGTTATCCTGGAGAATGGTGTAGAAAGGGGAGAGGGCGGTGGGAAGAGATAGCATGGGGAGAAATGACAGATACAGGTGAAGGGACGGAAGACAGCAAACCACACTGCCATGTGTGTACCTATGCAACAGTCTTGCATGTTCTTCACATGTACCCCAAAACCTAAAATGCAATTAAAAAAAAAAAGAAAGG